TAGAGGCGGAGGTGGTGTAGTGACAAGTGGCGCGCTTACCACTCGCGCGGCGCCGGGTTCAAATCCCGGGTCGACTCCCGCCCAGGCCAACCAAGCCTTCTACCCTCCGGGGACGGTAAATTGGTACCAGATTCGTCTGGGAGGATAAAACACTGACTTGTACATCGGCTGGCCACAAAGGGATTGATTAACGGCGAAGACTTTATCCTTTCATCCTTTTATGTTTCATTCACTTTTCGTCTGTATGACTATGAAAGACCATGGTCGTGTTAAAGACAGCTCCCGCGATAAAAGTGTTATGGACAGTTGATTTCAATATAAACAGTAGCTGATAAGAAAAGAAGCAAGAAGACTCCTCAAGAACACCATAAACAAAATCGCTCCCTGACAGTCACACCTCCTTGCGGTCTCTGTGCAACCCCTGGCTCACAAATCCCTTTATCACATCTCCCAGTAGTGGATATCATCCAATGCAAACAAAAGAATACGAAAAACAACAAAACGGGAGGAAAACTCTGTAGAAGGAAAGAAACTTTCAAAAACTCGAGCCTGAATTTGGGGTTACGGTAGCGTGCATCTTTTAGTGTAGTGTAGTGCGTCGAGCTTTTGCACCACAAAAATTGGGTCGCTCGTGATTTTTACGCGTTTTACCTTGCGAGATGGGTTGCAGTTGGCTGCATGTGCTCCTAATGAATAAAATGTAATAAAGGAGAGCAGAATTATTCATGGGCACGAGCGTGGTCAGCAAAAAGGACATGCAATTCCGATTAATGCCCGCCGCCCCAACAAAGAACAACTGAGCGGCCCTCCGTCAGAGGGCATCTAGCAAGTGGGCGGTCCAACTGGGCGGGCGTTAGAACTAGAACTTTCAGCGGCTGTAGCTCGCTCCTCGCTCGCTGTGGAGTCGCGAGAGTGGGATAGTCTCTAGCTTGGGGGCTGTACTACTTGCACAAGGAAGGACGACCATGTACTACTTGAGCGCGGAGGCTGTCTTTAATGATTTCTCAGGATCTCCATAGTCTCATGTTGCTGAGACGCTAACCTGTGTCCGAACGAGATTTAGTCTAGGATGAAATCAGTGCATACAAATAGACACAGCTTTCGTGGGAGGGGGGGGGGGAGGAAAGGCGCAGAGAGTCCTTGGCGTGTTGAATGGGAATGGAATTTTTTGCAAAGCCTTGCATTAGGTTATTCCGGGTGAAAGCATTGGTCATAACAATCGCAGCTAATGCTCGTTTTCCAAGAGCGCGTTAATTCTTCGCGATTGTCTGTCCTCCTTAGCTTGTCCATTTCGTGAGCGCTCAGTTCCACGAGAAAGGGAGCAGCTGGTAGTCACGCTTGCAAAGCCATTGCACTCTTCTATTCACCATCTCTGCCGTTTAGTTTTCATTTTTTCTGTCTCGGATGTATCCTTCTGTTGCCCTGTTTCTTGTGGATGAACTGTATGCACATGCTCTCATACTGCTTGATCTTTTGAGTGACTGTAATCTCACCATTTTTCTTTCAGGCCGAAGAAAGATGCGAGGAAAAGGAAAATCGAGACAGATTCAAGTGACAGCGTGAGTTCTATTGCGTACTACATTTGAATATAACTGCCGGAGGACAGCCAGAACTTTTAAATAAAGTTCTTTCTGAGGCTAGATTGGATCAGAGTTTACCCACCGGGTGCCTTGCGACATCGACGAATATTTGTTGGATTCTAAAGCAATCGCCCGCGAGTCGGAAAGAACGAAGAGTCTAGGTGGGGGTTTCTTTCGCCAGCACACAGCTGCCCTGAGGAGTACATCTTATGTGAACTTATGGTCCTGCTATTAACGTTCCAGTCGAAAAGTCGAGAGAAATCATTTTCAGTAGAGAGGGGGAGGGGGAGCGCGAAGGACTGCCCACTACCAACTGCTCGTTGTAGTTGTGTTTGATAGAAGCGACCAATCAGTTTTCATGGAAACGCTCCTCCGAATTTGTTATCATCATCATATTCAGTGACCGGTACCTTACAACTCTTTTCTATTCCATACTTTTTATGGAAATGATTCTCATCTGGCTTGCAGGTATCCGAAGAAAGTGATCGCGAACAAACGAGGAGGCGCAAGAAGAAGAAGCCTGTAAGTATTTCAGTAATGATTTACATGACAGCGAATTTCTTGCATGTTTTATATTATTCAGTGTCTTTTTACCTTTTTATATGTGGGTGGACTTTTTGAGATTGCTGTGGTCTCCACATGAGCATGTTCAGTGCATCCGAGCCGCGGCGAAAGAGGCGGTACAAGCGGACTTATTTGCGCAGCATTCGTAGAAGGACGCGATCCGCTCAACGTTGCAGCGCAGCAGCGCGTCGTCTCTTTCTTTGTGTGTCTGTGTCTCTTAGGTCAACTAGCTAGGGGAATGCCGCGCCTTTGATGCATGAACTATATCCCTTGCTTGATGCGTTAGGTATCATCCTAAAAAGTCAAGCAGTGTAAGGGACACAATAGGCTGATTCTGCTCTCACGAAGGCTGCTTTCACACTTTGCGTCGCTGTTTCAGCGTCTCCAGCATACGCCGGCACTTTGAGCGTTTTTGCAGCTCAAAGCGCTATATTGATATCCATACTTTCCAAGTCGTCGTTCAAAACGCTGACAGACTCTGGAAACGCTAGGTCAATATCCGTAATTACCTAGTCGCTCAAAACGCTGTTGTACGCTGGCAGACGCTATCATACGCTCGAAACGCTATATTGAAATCCGTACTTTCCTAGTCGCTCCAAACGCTCGAAACGCTGACGCAAAGTATGAACGCGACCTAAACTGTTCCTTTGTAAGGAGCCAGTATGCCCACGGTGTTCAGTAGGAGAAAGGTTGTGTACCTCTTCTAATCTACTGTATTACAGTCTATTGTATGGCCGTTTCATTGAGGGAGTGTGTTTCTATCCATCTTGAACGGAGTTTAAGTCGCAACTGAATGTTAATGCTGCTGTGATACAGCGAGGTGCCAAGTGTGATCTATAAGCGCTTCATCATTCAGCCACTGGAGGATGAATTCAGTAGTGACGAGATTCCTCTGGGAAGTATGAGTAGCGACGCAGAAGGCAAGGAGGATAAAAAGGACTCCCATGAAGAAGAGAGTTCAAAATTGGAAGAAGAAGAAGAAAAGAACAATTCCCAAAGTAATGCGTTGACGTCCTCATAAATTCTCTCTTCTCTTTTCGATGATCTTTTCCATTCATTTTGAGGTCCCTTATCTTTCAGGGACAAGACAAAGGATCAAATGAAGAGGATAAAGAGGCTAACGGAAGCGGAACTGAGGTTCAGTTTTATCTTACTCCACCATTGTATTCTATTTTTTTGGCTTTGCTCTGGAGAATTTCGGGAAATCCTACATATATCCACATGCTTTGACAGGAGTGATTTATTGTTCTTCTTTCAGGACGACACCGACAAGGAAGAAAAGGAAGAATCTAAACCGTCTACCTCGTCGCCAGATAATCGTGAGACAAAGAAAGAGCGCGATCAAAAGAACGAAGCAGGTGTGCAAACTTTCACTAGTTCCACACACATTTCCATTTCGAATTTCCACTTCTCGTACTGAATCGGCTACATACCCTTTCTATCGTGTCTGATGGTACGGTTTGGGATACGGGCCACTACTACAACAGCCACCGTGAGTCTGTTGAAATGCGCCATGCCAGTACGACCCCCTATCCGAAAAGGATTCCGGCTCTCATATTCGAACGGCCAGCAGAACAACTCGTCTCTCGTGCGCGCGGCGTCGTCGCTCGCCGGCCCTACCGCTGGCCTACTACGATTGTCTTGTCACACACCTGTTTCGGTTTTCGCTTGCAGTTGGTCTCTAACCCTACAAATCAGTGTTGGACTACAACAACCAGGAGTTGCCATTGCAGAATGTGCTGAATAAGGCAGTTTGCATATCGAACTCTCTATGTGATTATGAACTTCCATTTTAACTCTTTTGTTCCCGCGCAAAGTTTCTAAAGCATCAGAGAGGCTTTCTCATTGGCTTCACATATGTCCGTAGTTTGCTTCAACTTCAGAAGCGAAAGCTCTCATCCGACAGTTCAACGAAGAGCGGTGCGGGTAATGAAAACAAGTCGAGTTCTTCTTCAGACGAGGATTCCGACAAAGAGGCTTCAGATAAGGAGGTAAGTTAGCCGTTTCGTTTTTCGATCGCTTGTTTTAATCAAGAAATTCACATTTGTAAAGAAGTCTGGCGATGAAGAAGAGGAAGAGAAGGAACTGGAAGACAGTGAAAGTAGAAAAGTCAAGAAAAAGAAGAGGTTGAGTCAAAAGGTAATTTTGTATTGCCTTCTTATCGAATGTGAGGCATTTGTTTGAGTTGTTCTCAGATGTAGTAGTTGAAAGCTGACAACCAGGCCTTGTAGTTACTTCCTGGTGGTAGTCGATGACCTTCATTTCGGGGCTAGACTATGTATAGTTATCCTCTTTTCACAAGTTTGTTTTTGGTGCATGAGGCGAAAACAAAGAAGCATCATGGATCGTCTTCGGAAGACGAAGAGGACGAAAAACCAAAGAAGGTGAGTGAAATGTCTTATTTAGCGCTGTGCGAGCCAGAATGACAACAATTATGCGTTTTGCATTTCAGAAGAAGTCTGGTAAGAAAGGCCGATCACAGAAGGAGACGAAAAGTGATGGACCACAAGTAATATTTCTATATCGTAGCGAAGTCCAATAGTGTGTTAAATTCTCGTATCGTAGAGTGCTGCTTCGATCCGCTTGGCGAAACTCAAGAAAATGGTAACCCTAGCAGGGTTCCGGTATGTTGACAGCCTTCCTCTTAGTGCTGCTTTGCGGATAAATGTTGTTTTCAGCATTGTCTACAAGAAGTTCTTTGAAGATGTTGGCGATAGTGATCGTCAAAGAGTAAAAGCTCTAGAGAAGGAGTTGGAGAGGAGGGGACTGACTCGTTAGTTTTCAGGTTTTATCGTGAATCCTTTTTCTTTACCTTTCCATTATTTTTCTTCGTTCTTGTTTTGACAGCTTCTGTTCGTCTTATTTATCTTATTGTTCATTTATTCGGCGTATTTCTTTTCCATTTTGTGAG